CCTGGTTCCTGCGGCTGCTCGCCTCACCCCCTTCAGCCCCCTTTCTTCACCCCCCTGTCCTCATGGAGCCGACTCCTCTCCCCCCAATATTGTACTTGTACCTGCCCCTCCCCTCTGCCTTCCACCCCCTCTACCCCATTTCCTGCCCCTTCCCTTTGCTCTCCCAGCATCAGCCTGTCCCTACCCATCCCCCACAATCTCATTCCTAGCACCTTCCGCACCCCTCCTGCCCTTCCCCTGCTCATAGGCAGAGGGGCCCCTGATGTCCCTCAGGCAACACCCGCTCCCTACCCCCATACACAGACAGTGATTAATTTCCCTCTGACCTCAGTGACTAACCCCTGCCTCTCTCTCCCCAGTGGACGTGACTCTGGATCCAGACACGGCTCATCCCAACCTCGTCCTGTCTGAGGGTCGGAAACGTGCGACATATGGAAACACGCGCCAGGCTCTGCCCAACACCCCTGAGAGATTTGATCCTTCTCCCTGTGTGCTGGGCACCGAGGGGTTCACGGGTGGGAGGCGTTACTGGGAGGGGGAGGGGGGTGGGGGACAAGACTGAGTGGTACCTGGGGGTTTGCAGGGAATCTGCGAGCAGGAAGGCATCGTTCAGAACCACACCCAGTGATGGATACTGGGCCGTGTGGCTGAGTTATGGCAAATATCAGGCCTGCACCTCTCCTTTGACCCCCCTCCCCGTGAGTGCCAAGCCTGCCCGGGTGGGGATTTTCCTGGACTACGAGGCAGGCGAGGTCTCGTTTTACAATGTGACTGACAGGTCCCAGCTCTTCATGTTCACCGACACCTTCTCTGAGACGCTCCGTCCCTATTTCCACACTGGTTACAATGCAGCTCCTCTGACCATCTATCTGGTCCCAGCACAGACCGGAGAGACTGGCAGTACCACGAGCTGAATCTCTCACCTCCAGCTGCCCTGGGTCGCGTTACCACAGAGCTGCACCATGAGACACTTGCCCATTGACTCCTCTTGGTCTTCCTGTTGGGGTAGAGGAGTGGGAGGC